TATATATATATATATATATAAATATATATATACACACACATACATACATACATATATATACACTTCACTCATCCATTCAGCACATGTTTACTGAACACCTACTGTGTGCTCTGACACCATTCTAGGCACGAGGTGTAGCGTAAATGCAAACAGAAACTCCTGCCCTCCTGGAGCTCTTGTCTCCACAACATCACAGGGCTAACCTAGATACCCCCCCCCATTATATAACTGAAGAAACTGAGGCCTAGGGAAGTTAGGTGACTCTGCCAAAAGTAGTGAGTGGCAGAACAGACTAGACTCCAAGGGACAGATGTTATCTAGGCGAGGTGATGTAGGAGGTACTCTTAACACTGCATCACATCACAGGGTCTGGAGGAAGTTTCCAGAAAAGGGTGATGCTGGCTGTGGAGTTGGAACTCCCCTTCTGCCACTTCCAATCAAGTGTGCGTGCAGAGGGTACCCAGCCTCGCTGTGCCCAGAGCCCGTAACCCCTACCTCCCAGGGTCGCTGTAGAGGTTATAAATGGGTGTGACAGTCAGCTCCGCACAGGCAGGGCCCATCCACTTGTCCTCCCTTGTGTCCACGGCACCAGCATGGTGCCTGACACACAGTGTGTGCTCAGCCAGGGGTGACTGCTACAGGACCAGCCTGGCCTTTGTGTGCTTGGATGCCCCCGCAATGCCTGCTGGCTCCTTACCATGCAGGTATACTGGAAGTCTTCCTTTCTGGATAGACTAAGGGGCAGGTGCAGAATTTCCCAAGCTATTTCCAGAGTCCTTTATCAGAGAATCACAGTGCCCCCGCCTAGCATGTGTCCACACCTGTCTCCCAGCGAATCAGAGAGCTTCCCATCCATCACCTTGCTCCCTGGCCAAGGCTCTGGGAGGCAGCCCCAGTGACATCTTGATTAGCCACCACCCATCCATCATGTGGTGCCGATGGGAGGGAGTTCCATCGGAGCCGAGCCGGTCTGTGAAGACAGTGGGGAAATGAGTCTTCCCAGACCCTGGATGAGGACAGCAGGGTGTGTTTGAAAGGCCAGAGCCAGGGCGAGGCTGCCCCGCCTCACAGCAGAGCTAGGCCCACACCCTGAAGCTTGCAAGAGGGCGTCTAGGTTCAGGTTAAGTTTGGCGGTCTTCACGCAGAAACAGACTTCTTACTTGGAGCAGTGAAGCAGACAGGAAATAGAGATGTCGCAGAGACAGACGTGGGTGGATTTCTGAATGGTGAACCCAGGAGGCAGTGCTTAGCCAAGACTTCTCCCTTTCTTCCTTTCTCCCTCCCTCTCCCGCCTCCCTTCCCTGTCTCCCCTTCCCACCCCTGACTCTGCCCTGACTCCCACTCCCCTCTGGCCCCCCAGGAATCAACACTGCTTGGCCTATGTTCTGGTTCCAAGCCCCCCAGCAGTCTCTGAAGGCAACACCAGACTATTCCAGAAAGGTGGAGCCGTGCCCACCTCGCCCCCTCAACATCAACCCTTGGGCCCATCACCAGTGGTGACAGCCGGGCTGGGGCTCGAGTGGCTGTGCTGCGACCTTTTGGTTTCACACCTTCCGGAAGATGCTGCACCTAGTGGGCCTCAGGAAGGAAGGCAGGTCTCCCTTAGTCTGGCACAGCCAGGTCCCCTGGGGCTCAGCCCAGCAAGCCTGTGTCCTGTGTCTGGCCAGCAGCACTCAGGCTGGAACCTCCAGACCCCACTCCTGGGCTGCTGACACCTCTGTGCACCCCCGACCTGGCCCACCTTTTGGTCAAAGATGAGGAGGGTGGATCCTTGGCTGCCAGCCCACACCCCGCCTGCGACCCTCCCCTGTCAGCCCTCCTCTGCCTCCGCTGCCCCGTGGCCTTGGTCGCTCCCTCTCCCCCCTCCCCCACATGCTCTCACTGCAGCCTCTCTTGGTCCTGCTTCTGCTTTTCCCCGCTTCTCTTTACCCATCCATCCACCTCCCTCATCCTACCAATTCCTCTTCCCTTGAGACCTGATTTCTAAGGTGCACTTGACTCTGTTCAGCAGCACTTACTGAACGTCCACTGCGTGCTGGGCACCGTGCCAGCTCAGGTGCAGAAATGAGACTGGCAAGGTCTTGTCAGCATGGGCTGGGAGCGGTGATTCCCCCACCTCCTCTCCTTCTGCTCTTGTTTCCTACTTTCTCTCTTCCTGCTACTCTTCTTCCTCCTCTTCTTTCCCCCATGTTCCCTCCCTGCCCCCCCCCCGTTGCTTCTCTCCCCTTCCTTCCCTCGTTCCCTGTCTTGGCCTCTGCAGCCAGCCCCAGAGAGGGGAGCTAGGGCGCGTGGGATGGCACAGTCCTGGGAGATTTGGGGACAGGAGCCTAGGATGCCGCCCTCCCCACGTGGCAGGTGATGAATGAGACTGAGCGCCCAGGACACATTCATCACGGCTGCCTCCTCCAGGGCCAAGACAGGACGGAAATGACTTCTGTCAGCCCTGCAGCAGCCCACTGTCCCTGGCAGCTCCAAGCTGTTTATTAAAAAAAAAGAAAGAAAAATAACACAAAACAAAAAAGAAAGGCTGTGAATGCCATCCTGCCGTGTATTAGGGAGTGATTCCAAAGTGATGGTGCTGACAGACGCCCTTTCAGGTAGTGACACGGGAGCGCTCCAGCTCCTTTCCCAGCCTGGGTCCAGCCATGACGGAGACGGAAGGTGACATACAAGAAATGGGAATGGAGCAGCTGCTCCAGGCAAATTGTGTGGCTTTTGTTTGAGCACATGGGGGCCAGCCTTTCTCAGGAGTGAGGACGCGAAAGGTCACCTGCCCTCCTGGAACTTCAGCTGAGACTTTCACGGTGTCCAGTGGTGTGTTAGGCTCTGGAGATTCAGAAAGTATTAGTTGTCATCATAATGAGCACTAACTGCTAATTGTTAATGATTCATAGCCATTCATTATTGATTATTAATGATTAATCATAACTCATAATCATTATTTGAGGCACTCGGTGCCAGGCACTGAGCCCAGGGCTTTTCTTCCACCCCCTGATGTTCCCATGAGGCCAGCACGATGACCAGGACTGGAAGGATGTAGGAGTGCTTCTGGCACAGGGTACAGCAAATCCCAGAGTTAGGAAGGGTGTGGTCTGTCCCCGGAGACTGGTGTGGCTGGAGCAGAGTGAGCAAGGGGCCAAGTCATGAGACAGGAGGTTGGGGAGGGAGTTGGGAGCCAGAGCCCCCAGGAGAAGGACTGAGGCTGGTGGGAGAGTGGGTGAGGGAGGCAGTGCATCCACACCCCTACCTTGGGATGGACCTTATGGACTCCTCACTGCCCCCAGACTGTGGCATTGACCCTCCCTACCAAGCTGATGGCATAAGGAGGGACAGATGAGCACAGCCAGTCCTGTGCCCATCATTTGTGGAACCTTTTCACAGAGCATCATCACCATGGCAACCTCCCATCACCATGGTCCTGGGGCAGGGGAGGCTCCTGCCAGCATCAGAAGAGAGACGCATATGGGATGGTAGGAGCTCAGGAAGGCAGTGTCTAGGTCCCTACCCATGTCCCTGAAAAAGACAACAATCCCCTACCTTATCTGTATCCTCCTCTTTCCTCTGGGCATCACCTCCTAAGGCTGTGGGCTTGGCTCCTTCAGAGATTCAAAAGCCCTCTTGGTCATTGTGGTCAGCTGTTTTCCTTCTAAACTGTCCTACGTAATTGGGGATGGGGCTGGTGATATCAGACTGTGGTGAGCAGGACACCTTCCTCAAAGTCTCATACCAGAATACCAACCTTTATGTGTAGAGGGCTGAACCTTTCATAATAATCTTTCCTATCGTAACAGCAGCAAGCAGGGGCATGGCCTGACGACTGGGAACCTGCATCATCACTGCACCCTGCCTTCCTCAAGCCCAGCCCCTGGCCCCCGTTGCCATGCCCAGACTCTGACATCTGGCACCCCCTTTTGCTTTTTTATAAATTATAACTCTGCTGGTGGGAGGGAAGGGGGTCATTTGTCTTAGAGGGAGGACAAATAGATTTTATTTATTAAAGGAATGGTTGATGGACTCCGGTCTCTCTCCTTTAAGCCACGCTCTTCATTTTCATTTTGCAGCCTGTAATTCCCCCCACTGTGAGATTCCCACTTCTCAGAGGCAGAGTGGTTTTGCCTCTGTCTGGTTTGTCCCAGAATAGAAAGCTTCTGTTCTCTGGTGTGTAGTCTTGGTTTCAGGTTGATTTCAGGTAAATCCTTCCCTTTTGAAGGACTTTTTTTTTTTTTACCCCTACCCCCATCCCATCCCAAGAAACAATCAGGGGTGTCCCAGAGCATGTCATTCAGATGCATTTTTGGGTCACTGGCTCTCCGAAGCTCTGCTTGGTGAGGCTGTCCTCTGGGCTGGGCCCTAAATAAACAACCTCCTGCAGGACCCCCTCGAGTCTTCAAGAAGCAAATTACTTACTTCACAGTAGGCTGTGGGATGCTAGGTCCTCTCGTGTCAGACTCAGATATGATGCCTCGTAAATCTAAGTCATCCATCAGAGCTACAGTTTTAATCTACTCAAATGTACTTAGCTGGGTTTAATTATAGACAGAAATTGCATTTCAGAAAGGAACGAGAAATCATTTACATGGCTTGAGTTTGCGCATTAAATCACCCAGTTCATGAAGAGTGCGGAAGGGATGGTGGTTCCAAAGACAAATAGTATTAGTGCCCGCGCTCAGGGGATCTCACACCAGTGGCGCAAATTGTCTGAATCGCCCAATGTGTATGTACTGACGGCGGTTTTCTTCTCCTCCGCGCAGGCTGCAGGAGGAGGCGGGCGATGCCGAGCGGACCCAGCGCGCATCGGCACTGGGCGGGGCCCGGGACTTTCGCAGCCAGACCTCGGGGGACAAGGTCGTGTCTCCCCTCTCCCTCCGCCGGAGAAAGTACGCCCACTCTGGAGATGGCGAAGAGTGTGGCGTCCAGAGAAAGCCTCCAGAGAGGTCAGGAGCGCTGTCTTCCTCCCCGTCTTCCTCCCCGTCTAGCCGTAGTAGAGACACGTCCCCGCTGTCCAGGGACAAGCTGCCGAGTCCGTCCGCCGCCCTGTCGGAGTTCGTGGAAGGCCTCCGGAGGAGGAGGGCGCAGAGAGGCCGGGGGTCGCCGTTGGGCCTGGAGGACGGGCCCACTCTCCCCATCTACCAGACCACTGGGGCATCCGCGCTGAGGAGGGCCAGGGCAGGCAGTGACGAGGGGACCCTCTCGCTGAGGTCTGGGTCAGAGTCACCCCTGCACACGGTCGGCGCCCCCGGGTCCTCGGCCGGCCTCCTGCGCTCCACCAGCCTTAAGTGCATCTCTTCTGAGAGCATAGGGGGCCCCAGCCTGCTGCCCGAGAAGCAGAAGACCCGGTTCAGTTCCTGCGAGTCCCTCTTAGAGTCGGGACCGGGCCCGGGGAGGAAACCCAGCTCCCCATCTGCACCCAGGGACTCGTTCTTGTCGCCCACGCTGCGCCCTCGGAGGCGCTGTCTGGAGTCCTCGCTGGACGACGCAGGCTGTCTGGACCTCGGGAAGGAGCCACTGGTCTTCCAGAACCGCCAGTTCGCCCACCTGATGGAGGACCCCTTGGGCAGTGACCCATTCAGCTGGAAGGTCCCGAGCCTCAACTATGAACGCAAGACCAAAGTGAATTTCGATGACTTCCTACCGGCCATCCGGAAGCCCGAGATGCGTACGTCCTTGGCCAGAGTGGCCAGAGATGGGCAAGACAGTTCACAGCATTCAAGTGTCCACTTTGAGACAGAAGAGGCGGACCGGGGCGTTCTCTCAGGGATCACCACCATTTTGAAAAAGAGCCCCGAGTCCAGGGAAGACCCTGCTCACCTCTCTGACTCGTCCTCCTCCTCCAGCTCCATTGTGTCCTTCAAAAGCGCCGACAGCATCAAGAGTCGGCCTAGAGTCCCGCGGCTGGAGGGTGATGGTGGTGAGCGAACGTCCCCGGAGACCAGAGAGCTCGGGGCAGGGAGGAAGGACGAGGACGTGGAGAGCATCATGAAGAAGTACCTGCAGAAGTAGGGAGCAGCTCAGGTAAAAGCAGCGGGCTGGGGCTGTTCTGCTTGGGGAATGAAATGAGGGCGTCCACCTGGGTCTGGCAGCCTGGAGGAAACCGGTTGCTGCTACTGCCTTTAATGCCATGGCTGATTTCTCTAAAGATGAGGGTTTTCAGTGAAATAATGTGTGGCTGTTTATGCAAATAGCATGTTGCCGATAAACACAAAACTTACCAGAAGCCCTCGCTTGATGCCATCGGTTTCTTTGCATCTTGCAGACCCATCAGAAGGCATGAGGGTCCTGTGGGGCGATGCTGAAGAAGGTGCTGGGCTTTTAAAGTCTCCCTGCCTCCCCCCTCAGCCCTTGCCTCATTCTCTTTCCAGCACTCCACTCTTTGGATACTGGGGAGCATGCTGGCCTCTGTCCACAGAGGATGGGAGATTCTGGGTGGGTGGTGGGAGGGTCAGGCCAGGGTGGAAGAGGCCTTGACAGTGGTGAAGTCTAACTCTTACTCTAAATGTATAGAGAGAAACGGGCCCAGCGAAGGGGGAGAGGGGACAACTGCAAAGGTCACAGGGTGACAGTAAGCCATGCTTCTCTTTCCTGCTCCCATGATAATCCTGGTACTTATCTGCAGTAAAGGGAGGAGGAGGAATGCATTGCTTATAACGGCTTACCTGTACTGAGTGTGTGTATCAGGTAGTCACGTAGTACCCACGATAACCCCAAGAGGTGGTGTGTAGTACTTATTCCCATTTCACAGGTTGACAAACTGAGAATCAAAGAGGTAAGTCACTTGTACAAAATCACCCAGGAAGAACTGGGATTCAGAACTCCGGAATCCACACTTTTATCGGTAACACTGTTTCTCAGGTACATATTCCAGGCCTCTTTGGGCTCAACTCAGAGCCACATTGATGGAGCTGCATCTTAAAAGAGGTGGTCTCTGTTGAGGCCAGACTTTAGAATCATAAATCTGAAGGGAGATTGGAACTCAGACTCCAGCCCCACTCAACAAATCTGGAGACTTCAAGATCACCCAGTGAGTCTGCCGCCAGCCCAGCCACCCTAACTTCTGGTTCTGTCCTCTTTACCCTGAGGTGGGGCCAGCCTCTGACTCCCCCTCGTGAGGCACGTTTCAAACTTTAGGACTCCCGACTGAAATACAGAGCCCCGTCAGGCGGGCTGGGAGGCAGCGGAGGAGTAAGCTGCCCTCCAGGTTCAGATGCAGCGCACACCCACGTCCCGGTGACAGCCCACAGCCTCTGTAAATCTCAGAACTCTCAGCGGCTCGAGGCTCAGGTGGTCGAGTGGTCACACGTGGTGCTCAGCCCACACCTGGCCTCAGCCACCGACCCTCCTTTCAGAGGCCTCCTGGACCAAAAGAAGCCGCACATCTTCCACTTCTAGAGACTCAGTACTTGGAGAGTCCCCTCAGCCCATCAGAAAGCCGTTGCCCCTTCCGTGAAGATGGGCTTGGACAGGATCAGAGCAAATTAATTTGACTTAACATGGCCTTCTCTCCACTCTCAATTACCGAGGAGAGATCTGATATTCATTTACATTATTATGCTCTCGGGGACACAGAACGCAGTTTCAAAGGCCAAGTAAAGGGCACATGTCCGGAAGGGGAGCAGTCCTTAGCAGACGTCGTTGTCACAGAACATCTTGTCTCTGCCAGTTTTTTTTTAAAGTTCAGCTCCCCTGCCCTGCTCCCAGCAGCACTCACCGTGATAACAAAGCGCCTGCCTAAAAATCTCCTCCGCCTTTGACTTGCACGCTGGAGTCCTTAGCTCAACAACATGGCCCCGTTCTCTGTGAGGCAGATGTATTATGGGGTTCAGAACCACACAGGCCCCCAGAGTTCAGTTCTTCTCAGTAGCTGGCCATGAGTCCTTGGGCAAGAGATGTAACGTTGCTCAGCTTCTGTGTTCTCAGCTGGAAAATGGGGCTAATGTTACCAACTACCTAAAGTAACATGACACATAAGACCGTAGCCCAGAGCCCACACCCAGTGGCTGCGGCACATGTCAGGTTGTCCTGCCCTTGGAAATGGTGGCCCTGTGGGTTCTCTGTCTCAGGTTCCCTCTACTCATTTCCCTTCTGTCCCCTCCACTCTCATTCCTCTCAGTGGCATCGCTGCGGTAACGCCACCTGGGAATGCGGGACTCTGGGGCTCCATCACCAAAACTCACGTCCTGTGTCCGTGTATCAGCTCTGACCTGCGCTTGTTTCCAGCGTCCTGAGATGCCCTGCCCTCAAAGACTTCCCACCTCCACGACTGTCCAGAGGGAGACCTGCTAGACCTCTCCAGGGGCCCTGAGTCCAGAGCCAGCATGGCCTCCCTCAGGAGGCTGAGGTGCCCAGTAGAGGTGCATCCTGTAGGGCATGGGGCTCCCAGCACACTAGGTCTGTACAAAATAAAGCATTGGCTCCTTGGTGTCTGTGCTTTCTCTCTGTTCTGTGATCATGTTACCTGGGACTCTGGGGAGTTGATGGGGTGCAGGGGTAGAAAGGTTCTGAGGAAGCGAACCAACCCAAGCTGTTTGTCATTTCAGATGCACAGTTATTTCTCACCTTATGTGTCTACACGCAATGGCCTTACGTCGTTTCACTTGGCCAGGTTCAGCTTAAGTTGTCACCTCCTCCAGGAAGTCTTCCCGGCTACATCAAACTGAAATAAAGGCTCTTTCTCCACTCTCCCTTAATTGCTATGTTTATCTCTATCGTATTTCCCTACCTGCATTGTGTGTAGATGTGAAAGCATTCAAGGAGTTTTGATGAATGAATGAATGACAAATCCACAGAACGAGTCAGTGGCCCATACACCTTGAATGCCCATGACACACAGACATGTATGCATCCCTGCAAATCCATCCACAGAAGCATTCCAGAACCCATGACCATCTGTTCCACAGCCCCTCGCACACCTCCTCACATACACCCCATACCCTGTACCAACACAAATGCACACATGGACCATAAACAGCACTTGCAGAGGGACACTGGCAGCCTGGACACCTGCTTTTTCAAACATCCTTGCAGTGTCAGTAACACTATAGGCTGCTGCTCACTGACCACATAGTGTGTGCTGGCCGCCGTGCTGGGCTTTTACATGGGGCCTCTCACTGAGACTTTACAAAAAGTCCCAAGAAATAAGTGCACATACTAGTCCCTTTTTACAAAGGCAGAACTAGCTTATGCCTACATTAGGAAACCTATGCTGCTTCCCTTTCAGTTCCCGGTGGCACAGACCCCATGTCCTCCCCCATGTGAACCTCTGTTCCCAGGCCGCTTCCCTCTGGTGCACCCAGTCACAGCTCCCATCAGGGGAGGGAAAGGCCTGTTGGGATCACTGGTGTGTTCATTTGCCGGGGCTGCTGTAACAGAGCACCTAGCTTTGTGAGGTGACATCAACCACAGAAACCTAACTGTCTTGAAGTTCTGGAGGCTGGAAGTCCAAAATCAAGGTGTAGGCGGGGTTGGTTCCTTCTGAGTATCTTCAGGGCCCCCTCTTGGCTTGCATGTGGCTGTCTTATCCCTGTCTCTACATCCTCTTCCTCCTGTGCTTGTCTGTCTCCATGTCCAAATCTCCTTTTGTGAGGACATGGTCATATTAGGCCCACCCTCTCCTCATCTTAACTTGATTACCTGTGCCAAGACCCTAGATCCCCAGATAAGGTCACATCCAGAGTTACTGGGGGTTAGGGTATCTTTGATGGGGAAGGAGTTGAGGGACACAGTTCAAGCCATAACAACTTACCAGTTGGTGCTCACTCCAAGAAGGGGAGATCTCAGCTATGAGCATCCTCCCCAGAGGTTCTGGGTAGAAGTGGGAAGGGGAGGAGAGATGGGGCAGAAGGGAAATTCACTGGCTGCCCTCCCTGGAAGACCTTGCCATCTCCCTGTCTTTCTAGTGGGGCAAGTCAGTAGAAGAGTGGACTGTGTTTCCTTGGATGCAGGAACGTTCTCCCGCTTGGTGAGTCAATAGACAAATCCATCGTGTATTTATATGTATTCAAGGAGCATTGACCACTAGCCTACTATTCACAGGAGTGGCCCCAGATCACAGGAGAGAGCTGGGACATGAGGGGACATCCAGGATCCCTGCAGTGAATCAGAGGCCCTGGCAATCCAAAGCTAGCCGACATTGGGGTGGAAGGTAAGGGTGGGAACAGACACGGCCGTGGTCTTCCTGTGGTGAGACCCACGGAGTCTTGAAGCCTTGGAGAAGTCACTCACTGGGCCTCAGGCTCCTCATCTCAGCAATGGGAAGAATAGTTATTAGAATCTAATGGGCTTTGCGAAAGTGTAGCAGGCTGCATCAGTCTGCTGGAGCTGCTACAACAAAACACCAGGGGCTAGCAGGGCTTAAACAACAGGGATTTATTTTCTCCCAGTTATGGAGGCTGGAGTCTAAGACCGAGGTGTCTCAGGTCTGGCCTCTCTCCTTGGCTGGCTGACAGTCGCCTTCTTGCTGTGTCCTCACTTGCTCTTTCCTCTGTGCCCACACATCCCTGGTGTGTCTCTGTGTCTGATGCCAGGCAGGGTGGATTGGGGCCCGCCCTCAGGGCCTCACTTGAACTTAATCACATCTTTAAAGGTCCCATTCTGAGGTTATGGGTCTTAGGTCTTCAACATACAAATTTTGTATCAGTCACAATTCAGCCCATGACACTCGCTGTGCAAAAGAAGGTGGCGATTTAATTTATTAATAATAATTATTAATCACGTAGTGATTGGATAAACATGTCCCAAGCTCCCAGCTTGGTCTGCAAAGGCAAGTATGGAAATCAGGGAAAGATTCCCACTGCCTTCCTGGCAGTTTTAGGGCCTGGAACCTGTGCGTTTCCATGAGCTTCTCCTCCTGTGCCAGCAGGATTACTCATCCAGCCAATATTCGTTGAGCACCTGCTAAGCTGCAGGTACTGGTCCCCACATGGGGGAGTCCACGGAGAGCAGGCAGAGCCGCTCTGGAGGCAACATCCTTGCTGGGAAGACAGACAATAAGCAAGAAAACACATTGTCAGTGAGACGTGCTATAAGGGAAAATAAAAGATGAAATTATCTTGTAAGCTTCCTGTTAAAATTTTTCTGGACATTTATTTTATGAAGTACCTTTTTTTAAAGGAAGAAACCTGTCATTATTCATCAGTGCTGTGTGAGCGATGCACTCAGAAAGGTTAAACCCAAGTCATAACCGCAAAGCTTTCATCATTGTGCGGCAGGAAACAGAAACCCTGAAGATGCTCATTAAAAGTCAAATCAATAATAACAAAACCAACAACCCAACCCCAAAATAGGCAGAAGACCTAAACAAGCAATTCCTCGATGACATACAAATGGCCAAAAGGCACAAGAAAAAATAATCAGTATCTCTAATTATCAGAGAAATGCAAATCAAAACTACAATGAGGTATCACCTCACACCAGTCAGAATGGCCACCATTCGAAAGTCCACAAACGATCAAGGCTAGAGAGGGTGTGGAGAAAAGGGAACCATCCTACACTGTGGGTGGGAATGCAGGTTGGTGCAGCCAATATGGAAAACAGTATGGAGATGCCTCAAAAAACTAAAAATGGACTTATATGATCCAGCAATCGCACTTCTGGACAAACATCCAGAGGGAACTTTAATTCAGAAAGATACATGCATCTCAGTGTTCATAGCAGCACTATATACAATAACCAAGGCATGGAAACAACCTGAATGTCCATTGACAGATGACTGGATAAAGAAGTTGTGGTATATTGATACAATGAAATACTACTCAGCCATATGAAATAATGAAATAAAACCATTTGCTGCAACATGGGTGGACCTGGAGACTGTCATTCTAAGTGAAGTAAGCTAGAGAAAGAAAAACACCATATGATATCATTTATATGTGGAATCTAAAAAAAAGACAAATGAACTTATTTACAAAACAAACAGATTCACAGACATAGAAAACAAACTTATGGTTACCAGGCTGGGGTAGTGGGAAGGGATAAATTGGGAGTTTGAGATTTGCAGATACCATTATATATAAAGAAGATAAACAACAGGGTCCTACTGTGCAGCACAGGAAATTACTCAATATCTTGTAGTAACCTATAATGAGAAAGAATGAAAACGAATGTATGTGAGTATACGTATGGCTGAACTATTATGCTGTACACCAGAAATTGACACAACATTGTAAACTGACTACACTTCAATTAAAAAAAAAAGTCAATTCAACATCCCAGAAGATGACGGTTGTCCCCCTGCCTCTTGAGTCCCACAACCCAACCCAGCCTGTCACAGGAGACACTGACCCAACTTGGTGGTCCTCCCTGCAAGCTGACTCCAGAAATTCTAATGTGGCTCCTCAGGTCCCATCCACGGCAAGCTCAGCCCAGGACCCAGTGCAGGAAGCACCTGGCAAGCCTTCACTTCTGCCACGTCGGCTCCTCGGGGAAGCTAAATGGCTCACGCCCTGGGCTCTGCCATTCCCTCCCAAGTTCCCCTGCCAGACCTCTGTCAGTTCGTCTCTTTCTGGGCCCTCCTTTACTCATCTGTGGAATGAGGCTAGAACTGGTCCCAGCCTCCCTGCATCCTGTGAAAAAGTGAACTCTTGGGAAGCACTTGGCACATGCCTGGCACACAGTCAGCCCACAGCCAACAGTGGCACCATTGACCTTTGGGCTCAGAGGCACTTCTCCCTGACGCCCGAGTCAGAGGTTCCATCTACATGGCTAGGCCCCACTGTGACTTCCCTGTCAGCAGAGCCAAAGTGATTTCAGAGGGGAGGTTATTGGAGGTCACAGATCCAGGTGGACGGAGTGGCCACCCCAAATGTTTCCTCTTGATTTTCCAAGCCCTGGGGTCATTTTTAGCAGTGCATCCAGGTCTTAAAAAAAAAAATTAGGCTCAGGATTAGAAGAAATCCTCATGGTAATTTTACAGGTGAGGAAAGGGAGGCTCAGAGATGGAAAAGATCTGTCCCAAGACACTCAAAGGCATTTCTGAGTCTAGAACTCAATTTAATATTTCTTGATTTAATAAATATTTATTGACCTTTCTACCACCCCATGTCCAGGGCACTGAGAATAAAGCTGAGACTGGGATGGGCGGAGGGCCTACCTTCGTGAAGCTTACGGTTTCCTGGAGGAGACAGGTAATAAATTTGGAGATATATACCTCAGCCGGGCCAGGTTACCTGATGCCCCGTCAGTTGTCTACCTGCTCCAGGTCATCCTCCCTTGTCTGCACCGTCCCAGCCCTGCCCAGATCCCTCCCCAAGCCATCAGAGACCCAGCCCTGTCCCAAGGCCCCTGGCTGTCTGCACAGTTCAGGGCTAAGGAATTGAGGTTTTGCTTTCTTTCCCAAACCCAAAGATTGAAAGTGGGAAGAGCAGGAGAGGGGAGACTTGTGGCAGCAGGAGAGGCAGGTGCTGAAGAGCGTCACATATGGCC